GCACTGACACTATGTTGGACATTGTTGCACTGACATTATGTTGTACATTGTTACATTAACATTATGTTTGACATTGTTGCACTGACACTATGTTGGATATTGTTGCTTTTTTTTCTATATGTTTACATGTACATTTTCTCTTTGCAGATACTGCAGAAAGAAGTGATGAAATTTATAACTGGTTTTCAATGAATTGGAAAAAATGGTTGCTTACAGTGAACTGGAATTAATAAATTGCTAATGTGTCCTAACACCAACAGTGAAATAAAAGTGTTTTATTTGGCAACAGAACATCAAAATATAATAACAATAAGAAAACTAAAAAGAAGGAAACAGTTAACTATCAATATTTGAAACTATTGTATTGTTATATTAGGATGAGAACAATAAAAATGTGACAATTTACACAATTATAAGCTATGAGGAAGGTAAAATAATATAATAAAAATTTTACATTTGCTCATTGGTGGAATAACCAATCAAGACGTCATGCTATAAGCACCAAATATATAATGTAATTAATTATGTCACACAACGATGGGCTGTGGTGGGGTTTATCCTTATTGCTGGTAATTAAATTTATTCATGTTGAGTTTAATATGAAATTTAACTCTAAAATAATATTTACAGTTATTAATAAACTTTCTAAAATGTAATGGGAGTCACAGTTTTTCAGAATTGTTTAATGTGTGTATTACTGTATGTGTGATTCTCTTCATTTAATGTCAAACTGAATTGCCTCTTCTATAAAATATACACTATCAGTGCTATGCCTCGGGTACCACGTTTATGATCGACAACGATAGACTGAGAACTGGTCGGCCATATGGTGGCGTTGCTGTCTTGTGACAAAAATCCATTACTGAGTTTTTTCACATATCTGTTAGTCAATATAATGGCGATAGGCTTTTAGGCCTCAATCTGTGGATTGTCATGACAACATGCATTGTTATCTGAGCTATTTCTCGAAAATCACAAGTATTATTGACAATTGTGTTAGTAACAGAGTATATGTGATTGGGACGCTGACCCAAAGAAACTGTTTCGTAAAAAGCTCACCTCTTTTTTGTGCTGATAATTGTTATATTTTGTCTGATTAGCGATCCTAGACACGCATATATATCTGTTTACGTACATCAGCGAAGCGCATGACACTACATCTTGGATTGACCTTTGTATGTCATCGGTCTCTGCACACGATGCCATTCAATCCGTTTTTTTACCTTCCAATAACTACAGTCGGCCAATGCTTCAGTTACCTCCAAGCTGATCAATACTTCCAAGCTACCTACCAGCTGACTAAGGTTGGTCAATATTTCCTCTACTAACTAACGAGAAGGAACAGCAACGAACTGACAGGCCATGCTTCACAGCTGTGCGCCAGCTGGCTAAAGTCAGTCATGTAATTTTGTCTTTACTTTAGGATGGAATCAAATTCTCACTCTAACCTTGGCCACTGCTATGCGACTGTTCAGTTCTATTGATGCAAATAAAAGTATAGTTCTGGCTGTAAACACGTTTCCTTCAAACTATCTTTATTGAATCACTATTAATTTGTCTGTTGGCTCCAAAATTAGGGTTCATTTCGAGAAATATTAAAGAATTATAAGAAAAAAGTGTAGGAAAATGTTCACAAGAAAGTCTTGTGGTGAAAAGGCTAATAGGAATCAAACTAGCGGAGTTTATCGTGATAACAGATTCCAGTTTAGGGATGTGTGCATTTCTGTTTGTCAGTAATAAAGTAAATAAAACTCTCACAACATATGCATTTACAGATACTTAAAAATTTATTGATAAGAAAATCTGCTATTGCCATGGTAATTGTTGCTATGTGGTTATGGTTTCCATGGTAACTAGAATACCACATATATGTAGATATATATTTTATCACTAAAACTCATAAAATATGTTTTAAAACTGTAAATACTGGTATTCACGTTTTGAATTCCCCACAAACATAGAATCAGTCGCCAGTGTGAAAACCCCTCCCTTATTTCTAAAAAAAACACAATAACAGAGCATTGTATTACAGTGGATTATCTTTAAGCGAAAAAAAGGCAGTTGCAATGTGAAATCTACGTTTAAGTATGCAGACTTTAAATAATTAAAAAAAAGCATTATATTTGAAAACATACATGTGACAGCAAACTGGATAAAAATGTGTGTTTAACTAAAAAATAAATAATATATATTACTCATTAATAAATGTATATAGCAAAGCAACTAAAAGCCCCCTTTGCATCGTTGATAAGTGAAATACATATTCACTGTGAATTGCAGCCCACTCTTATTTAAGCAGCCATGTTGAATTTTATTCTAAATAAATTCAAATTATTGTGGTTTCAAAGTTTTTTATGCAAACAAATTTCTCAAATCCACCATTTTTTTATGTTTACAGATTCATTGGGTTTCTGATTTCCAAAACAAACAAACAGGAATTGGTAGTCATACATGTGCCACTGGAAACTAAGTGTTTTATTCCAAAACACATAATTTTGTGTCCAACTACTTGAAATAAATTGTTGTCAAAAGATCAAATTGGAAATCTCTCGGTGTATCCCAATGCTTTGAACACTTTTATGGATTTGCCGAAATGTTTGTGCAATACCCTCTCGGTACTTCGCACATTTTATGGACATTTGAGAAATTTATTACTAGGTTAGTTGGTACTCATTGAATTTCCAGTTGGTTGCCATGTATCAATACATCTGGTGAGCACTGGCAAACTTAAGTATTATTTTATGTTTCAGAGGATGATACTTCATCCCACTTTCTCACGTTTTCATTGAAAATATAATTATACATAAAATCATAATGGTATGGTATTAATTAAGCGAGTAATGATAAAAGATTAAAATTACAGTGAAAAACACATTATATAATTTTTGTTCCCCTCCAGAGATCTTAGCACCATTAAATTCTAAATATACATAACAAAAATAAACAAAAAGCGTACAAGTCGCCAAGTGAATGATTCACCGCCACATTCATTTGTACGTCTTAATGGAACACCCCTGTGTTATCAAATGTACGATTCACCACACCACGTCTTTAAATTAAAGACCCCAAACTGGTAAATGTGCAATTGCTGAAGGCACAATGAGTAATTTTTAAAAGCTTATAATAATACTTTTCAATAATTATAAAACACTGGTGAATAGGTGGGATGACGTAGCACTATTTTGGTAGCAGAAAATCACTTCTATCTACACTCCTTATATGGAGCTAATTTGCATATACCCATGATGCATAGTAGATTCGCATGTACCTCCATGTTTAATCAGTCTATCATAAATCAGATATAGGCTAAGGAGACTTGACTCCCTAACTTGATAAAGCAAATCATTAATATTAGATATGCAAAACAAGTGATTAATTATGTGTTATTTGTTACAAAATATAGACTATGTGATAAAAATAAATTGCATTTTTTAATTACGCTGTCACAATACAAATTATTGCTTCCATACAAAGGTAATGCAGAATACACTTCCAACCCTACAGTTCTATTTTTTTTTTTTTTGCAATTAAAATTGAAGACTACACAACTTTACAAACAAAAATGTCACAAAACACCAAATGTTCTGAAACTGAAAAATAATAATAATTTGATCTCTCTTTCCAGACTGTGCAGATGTTTTATTTTCCCTGTTTAAAAAATACAGCATTGGTAAAATATTTATGAAATAATTTTCTTCAGGAAATTTGAACTCAGAACGAGAATCAGAAGTCTAACAAAAAAAATCAAAAAAAAATTTCTGATTTGGATAAGCATTTCAAATAACATAATATACAACTTTAGCAAGTTGCCAACAAAATTGTCAGATTTTTATTTCCCCCATTGATGATAAAATATGTCCAGTTTCATAATTGTATGTATAGAGAGCCACACTTGAAATTAAAATGAGGTCATAACCTGAAAAATGCATTTATAATTCAATGCATAACCAGCTAAAAATATAAGTATTAGGGAATAAATCTCTAGATACAGTTACAAAAATACCATCTATATATGTTCACAAAGTCAAATAATCAAATTCAGAAAAGTTGAGTTTCTATACAGAGATACTTACAAATTATACTATTAGTATGTTTGGGATTAAACAATATATTTATAAACATACTACATTTTTAATCTTTTTATTCTTGCTTTTTAGATAAAAAACAAATCTTTGAAAAAAAAACAGGCTGTCCGCCATTACTATCCCCTTTCCGGCTAGAATCATCCATCATTTGGTTATTTACAAAAAAAAAATCTTTTTCTTTTTTTTATTCTGACAGAAAAATAAAATACTGTCATAATTGTCATGGTTATTTTATAATCGTCATTGTATTATAGTTTTATATTCATTATCGTATTAAAGTTTGTTTATAAGTTGTTTGTTTGTTTGTTTGTTTCTCTCAGTTTGTCACGACCAGCCCTACATTTGTACTTTGTGTTAGTTTGCATATTTCATACCAGTACAGGCTGGTTGGAATCCAATATTGAAGCTTGGAGAGCTCATGACAGTGATTACAGGTTTGAACTGGTTTCATCAAGTATAACTAGTCTGAACCGGTTTTATCCAGTATTCTATTACTAGTTTGAAGTGTTCGCATTCAGTATCCAACTACTGGTTTCATCCAGTATTACTGGTTTGAACTGGTCTCATCCAGTTTATTTATGCTGTTGAGAACTTCCAAGCATAATCTTTGTTACAAAGTTGACAATTGCAGATGCTGGCTGCTCAGGCTCATGTTCACAAAACAAATGACACAAGTTGTCAGTCAGACTTCCTGGTTTTCGAGCAACAAACCCAAAGATCCTACAAAATAAAAAAAGACACAAGGTTACTTAAAATAAAACAGCCAAAAATATTCATGGCCAATAAGGTAAAATGGTTTCACTATAAAGATATTTTTTTCATCCATTTTATCACCACAATAAAACAACTTACTTTGCATCAGCAACAGTTGAATCTTCTGTCCTTGGCCACCTTAAAAAATATAATATTTCACTTAATATTTATAAATGATGAAATATAATAATTATGCACATTTTTAA